TCGGTTGGGTCCATGGCTCCATGTGGTGTCCCCCCCCACCGCCCCCCGCCCCGGGCCTGGGGAGCCGAAGGGCACAACCGGAGCGATCCGAGTGCCACCTCCCACCGCCGCTTGGCCAACGGCGAAAAGGCGGGACCCTCCCCTCGCCGGGACCCCCGTCGCTACCTCAGCCACCACCCACCCATGGGACATGGGGGCACCCACCCCTCCGGCTTTTTTTTTTTGACCCTTTTGGGGTCAACCAGCCCAAATTTGACGTCTCTCCACTCTCCGCCATGACCAAAAACCACCGGGGGAGCTGGGCCTCAAGCTGGGTCCCCTTCCCGCAGCGGGGAAGCTGCTTGAGAAGCCAGAAGAAGCAACTGGAGGTGGTGATGGTGACACCACAGACTCATCAGATGGTTTCTGGGGACCACTAAAGGTGCCCTCATGGGCTGGGACAAGTCCCGGGACCTCTGGCTTATGGCCTCCCTACAGTGGAGGTGACGCCAACCCAGCAGCAAAGGTGTCAAAGCTCATCTCGTGTCAGCTCTCATGCTGGATTTCCGTGCACCGCGGGGCGAAAGGCCGGTGGTAAAGACACCGCCGCACCTGCCGTGCCGGTGGGAGGGGTCTTTGGAGGAGCTCCTTGGCCACCAGTTGAGGAGAAGCCTCATGAATGCCATGGGGAAAGGACCAAAACGAGAATCAATAAAGGGCCTGCAAGGTCAGCAGGGGCAGAAGCCACCGGGTAGCGGTCCCGTCCGCTCTTACCTTTCGTGTCGTTCACCGGATCCATGTGCCTGTAAATGTATCCTTCAAGGTAGGAATGGAATTTGGGTGTGGGTGGGAAGAAGGCCAAACAAATGGCCATGAGCTCCCAGCCCCGGGCCAGGCTCTCGTAACGGAAGTTCTCGGTGGTCTGCCGGCAGAGCTGGATGTAGAGCTCGTCTCTCAGCCCCTGCATGCTCCAGCCTTTGGTGGCGATCTCCAAGGCCACGTTGAGTTGGTCCGTCTTGGCCCGGCGGTCCCCCATGTACATCTGAATCAGTTTAAAGATCTCGCACGCCTCTTTCTTGACGTTGCGGTCGTTGGTCATGATCATGGGTTTCTTGATGGACTCGCTGCTCCAGGCCAGCATGTTGGCAATGGACACCTTCCGACGGAAGAGCCCTTGGGTGTGCTTGTTGAAGTGCTTGGAGGCCCAGTTCTCAATGTCCGTCTCCGAGGAGGGCTTCCGCAGGTTGAAGGTGGGGAAGACACAGCTGGCGCTAGGCATCATGTTCCTGGTCTGTCTGCTGCTCTCGAACTGGGCGCAGGCACCGAGGTCCTCTGACTAGGAGACGACAGCCAGACAAGTCCATGTTACTAATGGCATGGTCGCACCGCCAAACCGACCGACCGACCGACCAACCAATGAAAAAACTGACCAGTCAACCAACCTACCAGCCAAGCAATTAACCAACCAACCAAGCTATCAACCAACCAACCAATTAACCAACCAACCAATTAGCAAACCAATCAACCAACCAACCCATCAACCAACCAACCAACCCACCAACAAACCTACAAACCCACCAACCAACCAATCAGCCAACCAATGAACAAACTGACAAATCAACCAACCAACCTACCAACCAACCAATTAACCAATCAACCAACCAACCAACCAACCCATCAACCAACCAACCAACCAACCCATCAACCAACCAACCAACAAACCAATCAACCAACCTACCTACCTACCAACCAATTAACCAATCAACCAACCAACCAATCAGCCAACCAAAAAACAAACTGACCAATCAACCAACCAACCAACCGACCAACCAACCAACCAACCCATCAACCAACCGACCAACCAACCCATCAACCAACCCATCAACCAACCCATCAACCAACCAACCCATCAACCAACCCATCAACCAACCAACCAATCAGCCAACCAACTAACAAACTGACCAATCAACCAACCAACCTACCAACCAACCAATTAACCAACCAACCAACCAACCCATCAACCAACCAACCCATCAACCAACCCATCAACCAACCCATCAACCAACCCATCAACCAACCCATCAACCAACCCATCAACCAACCAACCCATCAACCGACCAACCAACGACTGACCAACCAACCAACTGTTGCAGCATTAAGAGGTCGCCCCACTCTTGCATCAAAAGCTCCATCCTCTCCAAGGAGCTGCTCCTCAATCCCACCATGGACACGTGGAGCTGGGCTGGTGCCGGTGGCCAAGGCGGATCGTGGCACCGATCGGCATCGGGAGGGAGGGGACCGGTGGGGATAAGCGAAGCCACCCCAGAGCCGGCGCGCTGGACGCCTGGCCCCCCGCTCCCTCAGGCTTTGCAGGCACAGGCAGAAGCAGCTGGTGGCCATCAGTAGGGTGGGGGAAGCAAAGGATGTGTGGCTTTGGGCTCCCCCAGCCCCTCGGGCACCACCGGGGAGGGGACACACCCACCTGTAACCAGCCCCTCCAATAATCCCTGACCCCCAAAGTCACAGTCAAGCATGGTTCTCCAGCGGCCATGAACCCAGGAGGAGGCTGGTGGCTCCTCCAAGCCACACGGACATCGTTTCTTCATGTCCCACGTGCAGAGGGACACGAGCTGCCCAGGATCTGACCTCACCTGCAGCGCCCCCAGCTGGCAAGGACCTCTTCAGAGCAAAGGGCGCCCCTGTGGACCAGTATCCCTCTGCTCCTGGAACCAGTACAGCTGGTGGATATCAGCCCAGGAGATGGAGGGGACACCTGAACGGCTGATGAGCAGCGTGGAGAAATACAAGCAGGGATGGGTGGCTCCCTGGTCCCGCAGCCAGCCAAGATGGCTTCATCGTCCCTCAGCTTCCTCTTCTGCAAGTGCAACGGCCGGGCCAGTGCCACCGGGGCTTGGTGGCCCTGGGGATGTGACCTGTGAGCAGGCAGGAGGCGAGCCCTTCCCTTGGCAGGGATGGATGTGCCACAGCATCCAGTGGTGACACTGCCGTCCCCACCATGGGCAGGGGGACCGTGTTGGTGGCCCCGAGCAGGGACCCTGAGCAAGGTGAGCCCAGCGGTGCCATGGCCTGGGGGCTGGGCTTCAGGTGAGGAACAGAAGAAGAAAAGCAAGAGGTGGAAGCAAGGTGGAAAGAGCCAGGGCCATGTGGAGGTGGCAAGTCCAGGAGGGGACAAGGAAGCCACCCAAAGAGCCACCAGAGCTGCTGGTAGATGACTGAGCCTCTGCTTCTTCTAACAAGTCAAGTTTCTTGTCTCCTCGCCCAACAGCACGTCCCTTCCCAGTGTTGAGGTCTCCTCTTTCCATTGACGTCACTCAGCTCCCATTATCAGTGACAACAGCAGGGATCTGGCTGTGGGGACGTGGGAGCTTCACCCCCGAGGGACCCAGTCCTGCTGTCCCTATGGAGGCCACATCACCTGTAAGGTCCTTCTGTTTTCTGCAAGCCGCTGGTCAGCTGAAGGCATGTGGGGCTTTCTGGGTGGAAGGAGCTCAAAGGCTTCTCGCTCTGCAGCCATCGCTGCCGCGGCTCTTCCAAAAAACTGGCCCATGAAGGAGAAGAAGCGAAGGACCACATCTGCTGGGGACATCGGCCTTCTCCAGCCAAGTCCTCTCCAGCTGACGGCACGGTCAAGCTGAGGAGCGACCCAGGCAGCAAAACGTGATGGGGTCCTCCCCTGCTGGAGCCAAGCTACAATTAGCTTCAGCCCTAATTAGCATGGTCCTAAATGACCTTGGGGGAAGCCTAGGGCTACAAGAAGGGGATAAGGCGTTGGCCATTGGTGGCAGCTGGATGTCACCTCCTGGCCAAGGGTGACCCTGGTGTTGGCTCGGGGTTTAGGGGACCACTCAAACCCAGAAGGAAACTCAAGAGTGGGGGAAGGAAGCCTCGGTGCCATGTGGATGGGGCTTGGACGCATCCCAGTGTGGGGTCAACATGGGGAGGCACCAGTGGTGACACTGGGCGCGTCCCCATGGCTCGTGCCACCTCGTCACATCTCCTCTGCGCTCCTCTCCTCTACAAGGTCTCTGCATCTCTGGCGCCGTTTTGCTCCGGTTTTCTTCTCCGTTGCTGCCACGCGTTGCTGTCACGGACGGCGTGACAACCCTCCCCATGTCCCAGGATGAGCCAGGGCCAGCTGCAGGTCTGCACCCACCACAAGAGGCTTCCACTTCAACCAGTGTCGAAGGTTGCCCAGCTGCTGGGGGCGTCAGAAACCAAATTAAAACCATGTGACCAGCTTCGACATGACCATGGAATGGGTTGGGTTGGGAGGGACATTTAAAGCTCATCCAGTCCAACCTCCTTGCCATGGGCAGGGACATCTTCAACCGGATCAAGTTGCTCAGAGCCCCATCCAACCAGATCTTGAATGGTTCCAGGGATGGGACCTCCACAGCTTCTCTGGGCAACCTGGGCTAGCATCCCACTGGAAATCTGCTCTTCCTGGAACGAGTGTCCCTGAACTTGAGGACAACATCAGCCAGGGTCAACCAAACAGAAATACCTGGGCAGTGGGGAAGAGTCCCACCAAATCCTGAGCTCCACACAGAAGGCACAGGATCGCTAATGGTGGCAGCCATCCCTCCTGGCCAATGTGAGCATCCAAAGTGGATTTGGAGCTCTCCAGTTTGGGGTTTGGGACCTCCTGCTGCGGCGCCGAGTGCTTGGGGACACTCGCGCATGGGGAATCCTCTGCTGCTGCCTTTGGAGGAGACGCCCCACGGATTTCCTTACAAATTCCCATTTTCCATCTCATTTGCTGTTTCCCAGGTCCATGTCCAGGGTCTCTCTCTCCTCCTTGCTGATCCCACACTCCATCTTCCAGGCAGTTTTCCAGGTGGGATTGCTCTCTCCAGGGTAAGTGTCCCCCGCACGCGGCATTGTTGCCCGTTCTTAAAAACCCATCGTAGCCCTTTCCAGTCTCCACACATCAACCCCCGATGGAGCCAAAAGCCAACCAAGATGTCCTTCTCCGGGAACCCCTCATCTTCATGTCCCCACCTCCCCAGCCCATCTCCGGGCTCCTCGCCCAGAGCGGGACACAAACAGGTCAGAGGGGGCAGATTTTGGGGGTCGGGTGCTGGAGGGGCAAGGACATGAGAGCTGAAGGCCAGGAGCTGCTGATGGGAAACATCTGATGGGCTGGAAGGTGGGCACAAGGGATGCGCCAGCTCCAGCAGGTCCAGGTCAGTGCCCACGGGGGGCCATCAGCAGCAGGAGGGCTACACCAAGAATCGTCCATGGCAGCCCCAGGAGCTCCTCTGAGATGGGAGCTTGGGGCAGGAGGGGTCTCTAGGACCAGGGCAGCTCAGTCCCAGGGAGGGAATAGGCAGCTCAGAGCTTGGGAAGCAGATCCTGGAAAGCTGGCCCAGCTTGTGGCTGCTTCATCCCAAGGTTTTGAGGGACCAACTTGCTAAGGACCAGCTTCTTTGAGGGACCAGGTTACTAAGGACGAGCTTTGAGGGCCCAGCTTGCTAAAGACCAGCTTCTTTGAGGGACCAGGTTACTAAGGACGAGCTTTGAGGGCCCAGCTTGCTAAAGACCAGCTTCTTTGAGGGACCAGTTTGATAAGGACCAGCTTCTTTGAGGGACAAACTTGCTAAGAACCAGCTTTGAGGGCCCAGCTTGCTAAGGACCAGCTTCTTTGAGGGACCAGTTTGATAAGGACCAGCTTCTTTGAGGGACCAGTTTGATAAGGACCAGCTTCTTTGAGGGACAAACTTGCTAAGAACCAGCTTTGAGGGCCCAGCTTGCTAAGGACCAGCTTCTTTGAGGGACCAGTTTGATAAGGACCAGCTTCTTTGAGGGACCAGTTTGATAAGGACCAGCTTCTTTGAGGGCCCAGCTTGCTAAGGACCAGCTTTGAGGGCCCAGCTTGCCAAGGTGATGGGTTCAGCCGCTGCCTGGATGGCCAGAGCTGGGGTGGTGGGTCCAGACCCCGACCCAAACGCAGCCCTGCCCGTTCCTGCTCGTTGTGAAAGCTGAGAACCCCTTGGACAATGGGAGGAGGTGGAGAGCGCCTGGAGGGGCTGATCCTCTCGATGGCGTCTGCATGCCTTGGCCACCTCTGCTGCAGGGACAACCCCCAGCCGGATGGGGACAAGAGGTGGCACTTTGGGCGTCCCCAGAATTCACAGAATCCCAGAATGGCCGGGGTTGGAAGGGTCCCCTGGAGCTCACCCAGTGCCACCCCCCTGCCCAAGCAGGCTCACCCAGAGCAGAGGGCACAAGCCAAGAAGTTCTTCCTCCCGTTCAACTGGAACCTCTTCTGCTTCAGGTTGTGCCCATGGCCCCTTGTCCTGGCACTGGGCACCACTGGGAAGAGTCTGGCTCCATCCTCGTGACCCCCACCCTTGAGATATCTGTACGTGTTGATGAGGTCCCCTCTCAGCCTTCTCTTCTGGCTGAACAAGCCTGAGGCATGATTTCCCCTTGGTGAATCCATGCTGGGTACTCCTGATGATCTTCTTTTCCTCCACTTGCTTGGAGACGACACGCAGAATGAGCTGTTCCATCACCTTTCTGGGGATGGAGGTGAGACTAACAGGAGGCCTGTAGTTCCCAGGGTTCTCCTTCTTGCCCTTTTGAAGACTGGAGTGACATTGGCTATCCTCCAGTCCTCAGGCACCTCTCCTGTTCTCCAGGACCTTTCCTAGATGATGGAAAATGGCTCAGCAATGACATCTGCCAGCTCCCTCAGCACTCCTGGGTGCATTCCATCGGGGACCATGGATTTGTGGGTGTCCAGCTAGCTTGTTTAAATATCCTTAACCTGATCCACCTCAACCGAGGGAAGGTCTTCCTTTCTCCAGGCTTGCTCGCTTACCTCCAAGGACTGGGAAGCCTGAGGGCCAGCCTTGGCGGTGAAGACTGAAGCAAAGAAGGCCTTCAGTAATTCCCCTTCTTGGTATCTTCTGAAGTTCTCGGTATCTTCTGTCACCAGGGCACCCAGTTCAGCACTCCTGGAGGATGCTATGGAGCTGGGATCTGTGCCCGGGCTCACCGAAGGCGCCGTGCCATGAAACACCAGGGGCTGCGTTACTGCAAAGGCCACGCGTGCACGTGCTGGGAGCACCAAAGGCAGCCGGGGATGGGTGCCCGGGGCTCTCTCAGGAGCCAGTTGGGTGCCCGGGGGCCAGGCCCTGGCTCCCATTGCCAGATGGAGGGAGGAGAAGCAGCGCCCGAGGCCGTGGCATGAGGCACGAGGCGCCCGTGCCTGCGCTCGGCAGCTGTGACGGTGCAGGATGGCCTGGGGACCACCCCGTTGGGTCTGCAGCGGGGGCAGGAGTCTAACCCAGCTCTCTGAGAAGAAGGAGCTTTAATGGTGAGGGTGGTGTGGTCTACCCAACCCGACGCGGTGCCTGGAGGCGCCCAAGCCCCCCCACCCAAGACGCTGGGGCCATCCCCAAGGACGTTACCT